CCCCAAAACCCCAAAACCCCAAAACCCCGGATTTAATGATTTTTTAGAGTAAGTTGAATTAGAAGATTTAATATCATAACTTTATAAATTATCGATATTATAAATGATCAAGGTGTATCTGAAACATGCTTCTGACCTCAGCAGCAAAAAATACAAAACTGTGAAGATTGATGTTGAAATAACTACCCTTGATGATCTAGTTATAAAAGCTCGATGATCACTTTAAATTGAATCTTTTGCAATGTATATAGAAAGAACTGGTGAGAAAATTAATTCAATTAGACAAATACAAAATAATGATCTGCTTCTTTGCTGAATTGTAAGAAATTTAAAGTTTTATCAATCATAGTCTGAGACGATATCGATAACAGATGGTGATCCATAATGCTCATCAATAAGTTCATACTAATTAGATGAGCTCTAGTACTAAAGATTCTCATAACAAATGCATTTTGAGAGATCTATTATTACAAGCAAAATGATGCACATGAGTCAAGAAACCAAATGCAATACTATCCTAGAAGGTAGAGAATCTCAAAAATAGCGATTCAGTGTGGCAATTATTGGAGATAGTGGTGTTGGTAAGACCTCGCTAATCAACAGATACATCTTTCATAAATTCAATACAGACTATAATAGCACCATAGAGGACTTTTATTCCATCCAGATTAAGCTCCCTAAGACAAAAAATGACCCTGAGAAGACCTATGTTCTTGATTTGATTGATACCGCTGGTCTTGAGGAATTTTCTTAGGTGAGAGAGAAATCTCTGAGAGATTAATCAGCATTCCTATTTGTCTACAAAGCAGATTCAAAGGAGAGTATTGACATCATTGAAGACTATCTTAGCAAAATCATCCAACTTAATAGTGGCTCGTTTAATCAATAGAGCAATTATCAAAAAAAGCCAGTCCTAATTGTATAAAATTAGTAAGACTAAGCTAACTAGTCAACATCTGAATCACTTCTGAACTATCGCCTCAGCAGATAGATATCCTCTCCTGATCTTAAATCTTTGAAGGCTAAATTTGGAAACTTCTTCGAATTTGAATAAGATACTTGTTCAGCTAAAACTGGAGAAGGTATCTCAAGAATTTTCCAAACTATGACTTAAATGATAGTAAATATTCAAAATGCAGAGGATCTCAAGAATTTTAAATCCAATAGAAAGAAAAGGCTTATCAAATAGAAAAATATCGACAAATATTATCCTAAAAATGGGGACTATAGGCACTGTTGTTCCTTTTCAAGATATCAAAATTGTGGAATATTTTGAAATCCTGAAACACAATCTAATGAATCTACAACTTATTTTGATATTAATGCTAGCCCTGAGCTCTCATTGATAACACTCTGTATTTTTACTCTAACTTAATATTCTTACCATATTTCATCTACGTATCTTCCCGGGGTTTTGGGGTTTTGGGGTTTTGGGG